GCGGCAGCTCAGCTTGGGCCGGGCATCAAACTGCTGTTGCTCAGAGCTCAAACTCTTGAGCGAGCTCTTAACCAACTGAGCCACTCGGCCGGCCCCCTTGTTCTCTTTCCTTCCAAGTGCCAGCCACCTTTTCCTCAGCACCTGCTTCTGAAGGGGAAAGATGTGGGTTGATGTGAGAGAAGGGCCTGGAGAGTGTTCAGTGTGAATACCAGCCTCTTTTTGAGTCAGACAGGCTCCAGGCTTGTTTGAGCTATCCCTCCCAGGGAAGAGTCGAGGAAGAGCCCATGGATCCAAGCAGCATGGCGGATCTACCTTTTCCATGCTGCCTCCGTCTCTGGATCAAAGAAAGGGCTGCAAAGAAATCAGTCACAGCTGCATTCAGGTGTGACTTAGAAGGTGATGAGAGAAGCTTACCTGTAGATTGGTGGGCACCCTCTCCTGCTCTCTCCCACCGCCACTGGTTTGATCTCTCCCCTACCTCCGAAGGAGAGGGTGTCTTCCTGAACCCCAAGAAAGTTTTGTCTGTGCTGCAGGTGAAATGTGTGGCTTTTCCCAGCCACTGAGAGCAGCTTCTCCAATCGTCAAAGATTTTAATGACTTTTCGAAGAGACTAGAACAAGGATTTCTCTTCCTATTTCAGGAGTGAAAGAAACATTTCCTGGTCCTGTCTTCCATTGATGACTGGGAACTACGAGAAAAAGCACTGCTAGAAAACCCTAAGGGTAGATACCCCTTTCTCCACCCCTATAAGGCTCTTGTCCCAGGCTAACCCTTGGGCATCAAAGGACCTTTCGTTTCCCAAGAATGGAGGCCCTTCTCTGTTTCCCCTTCAAGCTCCTTTCCCTAGGAAGCATCAGACGTGTGGAGAGTTTTCCACAAGAAGATATTTTATGTTGAGAGTTTTTCAGCTTTGGGGGCGAGGCAGTAGTCCATTCTGGGGCCTCCTAGAGGACAGACAGGAAGTGGGCACAGGCCACTGCCTGGCCATGGGTGAGGAGAGGGCTCTGGAAAAGGGGCTGGCTCCTTAGATATCTGTGCACCTACTAGGAATGAACCTTTCCTGTGTGAGAACGGCCAAGCCTCAGTTTCCTCTCTGGGCCCCAGATTTTTAATTCTGTGAAATGTTAGTGTTGGATTCCATCTTTAAGACCCCTTTAGCTCTTATTCTATGCTACCACCATCCTATCACCCTGGGCTAATTATGACAAAAGGAGAAACAGCAAACCAGCTGTTCAGAGGCCACATACACAACCAGCACTTCAGAAACTGAATGGAGGGTCACAGTAGTAGGCTATGGAAAAGAAAGACAGGGTAAAGAAGGGAGGGAGGAAAACTTCCACCTGTTTTTTGCTCCTTTCCAAGAACTTTAAAGCCGGGGGGGGGGGGGGGGGGAAGCTTACGAACTGTAGAGTATAACACCTCTAACATGTCATCTTGGACGAGGTGCAAGGCTGCATTCACCTGAGCGCCCCTGGGCTTCCTCCTACCCTGTCACACAGGTGCACACACATACACGCACTCAGCTGTGAGGTGCAGAGGACCAGCTACAAGGTACAGCTCCCCCAGCTATTATTGAAGAACTTCTGCCCATCAGGAAGCTGCTGCTTCTCCTGGTTCTGCCAACCACCTATTCTAAATCACAGACCACCACACAACTGCCCCCTGACACAGCAGAATAACTTGCATCTTGGGAGCCCCCAACACATAAACAGTAGCCTGGTGCCTACACTCAGTAGATTCCGAGGCCTGTATTCACTGTCTGCTTCCAAGGGCATAGAACAAAGGTCATCTGGGGCCCAGCACCAGTGTAAAGCTCTCTCTGGACAACATATGCTGCTATCCAGACTTGGATGACCTCTATAGGCCAGGCAGCACCATTCCTCTGGGGCCAGTCATTAGGATGACTTCCCAGAGAAGCAGGTCACTTGCCTCCAACCCCCGCTGGCCATAAAAAATAATGGCAAGTGTGTAAATGAGTATAATCGCCAGGGGAGGGTAATTTGACAATCTTTTAAATTTGCCAAAGTATATACCTTATGATATAGTGATTCTATTTGTAAGGATTTACAAATATACCACACACATATGAAATGACATGTGAACAAGTTATTCACTGCAATATCATGTATTAATAAAGATTGGGAGTAAGTTAGACGTCCATTAGTAGCCAATCAGTTTCATAGATTATGGTATAGCCATACAGTGGAATACTAAAAATGGAAAGCTTTTGCGGGTTGGTATGAAAGGGTCACAGGTACAGATTATTATGTTAAAATAAGCAAGGTGCAGAACAGTGGGTATGTTTTACTACTATTTGTGTAGGAGGGATACCTTCCCCTGTCCCCCACTTCCCAGCAGAGGAAGTGCACCAGATGCTTCAGCATTGCTCTGCTGGCTCCAATAACAGAGGCCAGAAATCCCACTTCTCATAGTCTCTTTTGGTTATCGCCCTAAACATTCCCCAAACCCAGGCACACTCATGTGGTTTGGGAAATCTTGTCTTTTTTGAAAATGTAAACATTTTTATACACTTCCTCAGAATAACAAGGTCACCCCTAAAGCAGTGACTTACTTTGAAGTTGCTTGACTTCCTGGTATCCCTTTTCCCTTGAAAAAAAGCCTGAAGTCCTGGGGGGGGGGGGGAATGCTGAGTGGCATGTATTTGTTTTAGAGATTACTCTTTAAGAATCTTATGACCCTCCTTTGAGATAACTGGCAACACTCTGGGGTGTTGCAAAACTGACTTGAGAGAGTGACGCCTTGATCCGCAAGAGGCCACTGCACAGACTCAGCCAAGTGGGGCCTGCACCACTGGGGCACAACCTGGGGTAGGGGCTGGGGCTGGGCCTCTCTGCCTCCACCTACCAGGCATTTCTGTGGATCCCAAGGCCTGCTTGGGGTACTGCACTGGCATGGGAGGCATTTGTTTGGGAGCCACTGACAAACCCTGCTCATGGATGAGCTGCTGGGTCCCTGGGAGACGAAACTGTTTTTTTTCCCTCAGGGATAATTTTAGGTCCTCACTTCCCCTCCAATCTCCCTAGCTCCCAACCTCTGACTCAGACTCCCAGAGGGATTGCTTAAACCAGTGACTATACAGCGCTCTTTAAAAATATAGAGCTATTCAAAAGAGACATCCCAGGGCATGGCCCCGGAGGCATTTTCCATGATAAATCCGCGGCCCTCCCGCTCCCTTTTGTCTCACTGTTTCAGGGGAGGAAGCAAGACAGCTCAAGGATCAGGTTCTGATAGGACTTAACAAAGGTATCTTCTTGCCCAGAACTTGAACACAGGTGCTTATTTTCTAGCCTCACCTCCCCACATCCAGTTTGAGAGGAGCCAACTTAGAGATTGAAAGAGGTTGAGTGGCAGAACCAGCCATAAATTGGGGTGAGGGAGGGGGAAAGAGGAGGGGAAGGAGGCTCTGGGCTTCTTCAGGTGAAGGGAACCTCTGATGGGACTGTATGAGAGACTTCCAGAGGCATTAAAGTACCAGGCTTCTTGTTCAACACACTCAAAGATGCAACATGTGAATTCCTCAGTTCAATGTCTTATAATTTTTAAAAGTCCATGAATAAAATCTTCTAGGAAGTAGAGTGAACACTTTCCCATTGGGAGGGGGGTAATGGAAGATTTGTAGATAGTTGGAGGTGATGGTGGACAAGCCTCAACCTCAAACCCTCTCATTCATTTTTAACACGTCTTTACAACAGAGGACTTTTAAGAGAAGAGGCCCATCTAAAAATTTCAAGGTGGGAAGGCATGTGGAAGGGGCAATGTAGAATGCGGAAGATGGAGAAATTAAAACTCTCAGCATTCCAGGTTACAATAAGCTAAATCGAAATTCAAATGAGCAGGCAATGATAAAGACTCCTGAAAAATGGCAAATTTCCCCAGTAACTAGGAGGGGGGGCTGGGAACCAGAACAGAAAACTGGACGGGCAGGGAGGGTAAGTAAAATAGAAGGGAAAGGGGACGAATCTCATTGAAGTGAGGTTTTGGGAGAAGAGAGTATACTGGCTTCCCTCTATTACTTAACTTAAAATATATTAGGGGAGGGCACCCAAGAAGCTGAGGGGCTACTGTGGATGGAAAGGGTTACCTTTTCCTCTGACACGGTAAGCAGGGCGACCAGGAAACCAGTGTCGACCAATGCCGTACAAGTGCGTGGAGCTGGTGACGGCAGGAGTGGGCACATCCTGGCAGAGAAGTCAGGGCCTCCTTACTCCAGATTTGGGAGAAGTCGGGCACCCATCTCGCTTCCCTCCCCACCCTTTAATTCCCCTCTTCACGCGGCGTGTGGATACTATTGGCCGCTGCCTCTTTAAGGGCAGCCACTCCTCCCCACCCCCAAGCGGTGGCACTAAGGGGTGGCGGTGGTGTTGGGGGGAGCTGAACCTTCTTTCCTAGTCAACTGGGGAAGATGGCCCAGGCCGGGGGAATCTCTTTCAAGCCCTGGTACTCCCTCCCCTGAGCCGGCTGAGCTGGGGGCCCCCTTCCCTCTTTGCCTCCTGCCCATGCGCGACGTGGGAATGGCTCCGTGGCCTGACCGGAACAGCTCTCTGGCCTCGTGGCCAGATGCCCTCACCTTGGCGCCCAATACTGCCAACACGAGTGGGCTGCCAGGGGTGCCGTGGGCGGTGGCTTTAACCGGGGCGCTGTTGGCGCTGGCGGTACTGGCCACGGTGGGAGGCAACCTGCTTGTAATCCTGGCCATCGCCCGAACCCCAAGACTTCAGACCATGACCAACGTGTTCGTGACTTCTCTGGCCACAGCCGACCTGGTGGTAGGACTCCTGGTAGTTCCTCCGGGGGCCACCTTGGCGCTGACTGGTCACTGGCCCCTAGGTGCCACTGGTTGCGAGCTGTGGACCTCGGTGGATGTGCTGTGCGTGACGGCCAGCATCGAAACTCTGTGCGCCCTGGCTGTGGACCGCTACCTGGCCGTGACCAACCCGCTGCGCTACAGCGCGCTGGTCACCAAACGCCGCGCCCGGGCAGCCGTAGTCCTCGTGTGGGTCGTGTCCGCCGCGGTGTCGTTTGCGCCCATCATGAGCAAATGGTGGCGCGTGGGGGCCGACGCTGAGGCTCAGCGTTGCCATTCCAATCCGCGCTGCTGCGCTTTCGCCTCCAACATGCCCTATGCACTCCTCTCCTCCTCGATCTCCTTCTACCTTCCGCTGCTGGTGATGCTCTTCGTCTATGCGCGAGTGTTCGTCGTGGCTACGCGCCAGCTGCGCTTGCTGCGCCGGGAGCTGGGCCGCTTCCCGCCAGAGGAGTCTCCGCCGGCTCCGTCTCGCTCTCTGTCCTCCTCTCCCGCGGTGCCGTGCGCTTCGCCCGCAGGGGTGCCCTCCTACGGCCGGCGGCCGGCGCGCCTTCTGCTTCTCCGGGAACACCGGGCCCTGCGCACTTTGGGTCTCATCATGGGTACCTTCACTCTTTGCTGGTTGCCCTTTTTTGTGGCCAACGTGGTGCGTGCCCTCGGGGGCCCCTCTTTGGTTCCCAGTCATGCTTTCCTCGCCCTTAACTGGCTAGGCTATGCTAATTCTGCCTTCAACCCGCTCATCTACTGCCGCAGCCCTGACTTTCGCAGCGCCTTCCGCCGTCTGCTGTGCCGCTGCGGGCCAGAGGAGCACCTCGCCGCGGTATCCGCGTCCCGCGACCCTGGCGGCACCCCTGCGGCCCTGACCAGCCCCGCGGAGTCCAGGCAGTGCTCACCGCTGGACCGGTAGGTAATCGAGGCGGAGGAGCTGGAAGCTTGGGATCAGGAAGCATTCGGTGTCACCTCTGGTCAATTTTTTTTAGTTTGGGGTTCGGTAGGAGAAGGTTGGGGGGGAGGGACTCTGCATTGAGAGAAGGGGGGACGTGAAGTAGGGAACCTAAATGGAACCCAGGGTCGTTTCTCCCCACCCTCCCCCGCATTCTACCCATCCTGCCCTAGGATTGAAGCAAAGGAGGGAGGCAGCCCCGTGTGTGAGCCAGGAAAGTGCTACTGTGCCCCCAGGTCTCTGGCTGACCTGGTCAACTCAAGTTTTGGTTTTCTAGCTTAGTTCTATGGCTGCCCGGGTTTCTTGCCACCGCTTCAGTTGGCTTTGACTTGCAGAGAAGACTGGAGACCCTCCCAAGCCCTTGGCCCCAGCTCAGGTTTCTTTGAAAGGTCTGATAGCTATGAAGGTGAGAATCCGCTTTGGGTATGAAGGATAAACAGGAGTGGAGAACAGTGAGTGCGAATTCTTCCACCTGGTAGGAACAGGGCTTGGCTGGAGTTGGAGCCCTGTTGCTTTTGTGTAATTGCATATGTTTTCCGGGGTTGCTGACCTCCAGCCATTTCCACTAGTGCCCTTATCCCCACCCTGTGCCCTCCCCCACCCCAAGATATGTTATCTCCATTTTTTCCAGGGCTTCCTGGGGAATTTCTTAGGCCTTGAAGGACAAGAAACAACGGCTCCGTTGATACAGAACCTTTGGAAAGCCCTGGCCTGTTTAGAATGAGCCCTGCGGAGTTTCCCAGCTGGAAAACTCTGCCCTCCAGAACCTGACGACTGGGCCACAGGATGGGGAGGTGGGGACTGACTGGGGAGGGGAATCCTTACCAAGTGGGTTTTCATCATCCTGTCTCTCTTTTGGAGAGACATTTTCTAAACCCCACCCCTGACCTTCACCACTACCTCAGCAGCTGAAGAGTCTGCCGCCTGAACTGCGCTGCCCTTGGAGCAACTGGCTAGCTTTGCTGGGCACCCATCACTTCGTTCACTTGTGTGCATGTGCTTAGGGCAGAGAGAGTGAGCACCCCCTCATTCTATTCCTTCTGCTGCCAAGACCAGTGTTCTCCAGGCTTGGCTGCCCAGGCTGAGAGCAGGAAGCGAAAAAAGGTCAAGGTTTGGGGTTTTTTCCCTGGCTTCCTCACTGTAGCTCTTTAAGCACCAGCCTCCCTCACGTTAGACACAGAACAGCTCTGATCTACCTCACAGCAGTGTCAGAAGGACTTCTTCAGGGTTTGGGGAGCTCCAGGGTTCATAGGAAGGTGAACCATTAGAATGGACCCCTTCTTCTCCTTTTAAAATCAACTTAATAAATATTACTTAATGCAGTTCATCCATTGTCCTCGCTTCTCTCCATTTGTTTTCTTTTCATAATCCACTTACTCCCTTCTTAGAGCTGGCTTTTGACGGAGGCAATATATTAGAACTAATCCTTGTCCCTTTCTTCCTAATCCTTATGAAATAAAAATGAAACATCTGTTTGGGTAAAGGGGAGCATGCTTGAGCCTTTAACACTCCTGCCTCCCTGCCCTTTCCAAAACTCCTGGAACCCAGTTCAAGTGAGTAGCAAAGCCATTCTACCCATAGGACTGGAGTGAAGTGCTCAAAGGATTGGGTTTGCTGGGTTCAGGATCAGGGCACATGTTGCAAACATTAGCCCCATGCTATAAGCCAATAATGGCTTCATAAGACTTGGTTGCCCGCAGGAACCAGTTTTGTTCCATACTGTACATGTGTGTTTCAGGAAGCACCAAGCATTATTTACGTTGGGCACATGTCTCAGGTTATAAATATATTCTGACATTTCTCATTGTTCCCACTCCCTTGCCTGGGCTGCAGAAATCTGTATTATCCTCTGGAACTAAAACTGGAGTTACAAGTTTGAGCCAGTTGATCATTTTCCCCCCCTTATTCCAATTTTTATAAACCTTACCAGGCAGTTTTCTATGGAAAGAAAATTTCTATGGAAATCAGTGGATCATTTTGTGAGTTCCTATTTAAGCTCCATGAGTAGAGGCCATTGTCTGGGCTGATTTATAGGATAGGCTGTACATCATTTTAAAATTTAATGTGCTGTATGGCAACAGTCTACAGTGCATTGGCTAGGTTCAGGGACTTCAGAGTTATAAAACATCAATCTGCCCTGAGGATAAGCTCAGTGGATTTCCACATATGGGTGTTCCCTGTGAATTGGACCTGGCCTTGGCTGCTTTCTTTTCTCCAGGATCCCAGGTTTTATTTCTTAGGATGTTTGCATACCAAAGATGACTGCCTCCTTTTCAACCCAGAGCAGTGTGAGATCTCTGCTGTCTGAGGTGTGGAAGGTTTCTTGGCAAGGACTCAACTTTTGAACCTTTAGTGGAGAAGGAAGTCCTGCATTAGCCTGGGGATTAGTAAGAGGGCCTCCTCTCCCCATCTCTGAATCTTTTCCCAACATCACTGAGGAAAGTTGCCCAGTCAGTCCTAGGCAGGGAGGAAGGATGATTTTTGTGGAGGAGGGGATTCTGGTTTGTAGAATTATTTTTTAACACTATCCAGGAATTCATACTGCTTGATATGCCCCCATGTGCAGCTGTCAGACTCCTTTGGAATGTTTAGACTTGCACTGGGGCTGTGGACTCCATCTGTGAATTGTCACCAGTGTATCTGACAGATGGAGAGGCAGCCGCTCTGGTCATTTCTCCAGCAACTTGTGGCCAGGTGTCAGGCTTAAGGAGATTTACATCCTTGGATGGGGAACAGGCTGCTTTTGCTAGCACAAGGCCTGAGCACTTGAACCGTGGAAGACAAACAACCATCCTCTGAACCTAGAGATGTGAATACTTACATACCAATGAGAAGGAAAAAGCCTGTGGAATCCCTGGCCTTGCCAGAGTCTGTTAGCAGGAGCTGGGCATGGGGCAGAAATGATAGGCAGAGGGGAATGAGGAGTGGGTGGGTTTTTCAGAGGTGACCTACCTCCTGCATCACGTGGAACTACTAAGGAGCAGGCAGAATTAAGGCCAGGGGGAGGTTGATAACAGACTTTCCTCGGACCCTCCCCATGGGAGAGTTTCCTGGGAAACAGTGGTAAGTGCAGACTGTAGTCCTTATGAGCAGTCATGGGGCTATAATTCCATACCAACTTCATTCCTCAGTCCTGATAGAGCAGGAACAACTTCCCCCTCTTGTCCGGGGGGCACAGGTGAAGGCCATGGAAATAGTGCTCCTTTATGTTTCCATCCTAAACGGCAAAGATCCAGGTTCCCTCTTAGGCCTCTTGGTGGAGTATGTCTGTATGTCTGTCCAAAGGAGAAGTGGGAGCCTGCAGTGGGGAGTACTGCTAATGCTCCCCCTCCACCCCATGCAGAAAGCCCTGGATATAGTCTGCCTTAGGCCAATTAGTGAGCAGTTGCGGCATAATGGAGAACTCAGTTTGATTAATAGAAACTCTAGAAGGCCATTTAATCTTTCATAACTCATCCTATTATGAGATTAAGGAAAATCAAAATGCTTTCCTCATCTATAAAATAAACAGAGAATAAACCTTTCTCTCCTTTGTTACCTATAGAAAGGGAATGAGGGTGACTGGGATGACTGACTTTCCTAAAGTTCCTTGAAGTCCTAGGCCAAGCTTAGCACCTTCAGCATCTGCTCCACCCAAGGCATTAGCGGTGCTTGGCGCCCCCGATGGCCATGAGAGGTACAGCAACTGTGGACTTGGCAATGTTGGTCTGTTGACTAGACTGGCAGCAAGAGCTGCAGTTTTCTTAAGGCCATGGGGACAATCGGAACTGGAAGAGACAAGAGAAATGATTTTGTCCAATCCTTTGATAAAATGGATGAAGAAACTAACTTCTAGAGAAGTGAATCGTGAGTAGCCAAGATTACTTGAGTAAATGAAAGGCCACACACTGTGGTTGGTAGTATAAAGGGTACAAAATTTGGAACTGGGAAACAAGTAAGAAAGGGAGGAGGAAGGAAATGATCATTTATTGAGCACCAATAAATATGACAGTGAGAAGTGCTCACAAATGTTATGCTATAGTGACACTATAAAAAAATAGAGCCTTATAGAAATCAAATAATTTTCTTGTGATGATTCTAATTCAGTCTACCAGACTCCAAATTTTCTTTACTCACTGAAAAAGTTGCCTAGTCAGTCCTAGGCGGGGAAGAAGGATGATTTTGTGGGGGAAGGGGATTCTGGTTTGCAGAATAACCTGCTAACAGTCAATTATGTGACACAGAGGAATTTCCTTAGCATCTCTGACATCTTGTTTGCCTGCACATCAAACGGAGATTTTATTTTATTATTGTTCTACTCAGCTCACCCAGACTGGTTTTGAAGACCAAATGAGAGACTGTATGTAAAAATGGTTTGGAAACTGAAAGGGCTCCACCAGTGTAAGTGGTGTCATTAGAGTATGGAGCTTGGACTATTCCCAAGTTTCCTGGTTTTAATCCTTGTATAGTTCTGCTTCTATCAACAGCTTGGATCTTGGGCCCATTTGTCTTTGGTCACCGAGGGCATGACCTGCCTGGTCTTTCTTCTGCAGGGTCCTCTCCACCTCAGACTGATTCTGCTAGTTCCATATCCATATCCATGTCACTGTACATCTCCCCCCCGTCCCCTGCCGGCTCTCTTTTCACTTTGTAAGATGGACAGAAGGTTTAGGAGAGAGGACACTTCCAGATATCAGTGCTTTATGGGACATTAGAGTAGGGGTTCGTGAGAAGGGGGCCCTAAGGAGCCAGAGAAGGGAGATGGTGTATTATTGCGTTGTTAGAAAAGTCATGATGCATTTTTGCAACAAAAACCATAGAAAAAAATACGTCATGACTTTTCTGACAACCCAATAGTTTACTAGCTCTGCCATAACAAATCACCACAAACGGAAATGTATTCTCTCACAATTCTAGAGGCTAGAAGTCCAAAGGCAAGGTGTTGGCAGGATCATGCTCTCTCTGAGGGCTCTCGGGGAGGAATCTCTCTTTGCCTCTTGTGGCTTCTAGTGTTTGTGGTCACCCTTGGTTGCTTGGCTTGTAGCTACATCACTCTAACTTCTGCCTCTGTCTTCACATGGCCTTCTTCCCATATGTGTCTGTGTCCGAATTTACCACTTCTAAGGACACCAGTCATTGGAGCAGGGCCCAACTTAACTCAATACGACTTTATTTTAAATTGATTACATCTACAAAGACCCTATTTCCAAATAAGGTCACATCTACAAGTTCTGGGGATTAAGACTTTGACATATCTTTGAGTGGGACACAGGGGTGTGATGGGGAAGGAGGAATACTATTATGCCTAGCCTTTTCATGCTCATCATATTTCTGTTGTTTCCCACATTTCCAAGGCTGTATTTCAACCTGTAATCAGTCCGAAGGGTAGTGGGAGTGCTTCCGTTCCTGGATTTCTATGTCTAGGCCTTTCCTCCCATCTCCTTAGGCCCCAGATTGGAGAGGCCACTAATAAGCCAGATCTGTGTTTGTTGTCTCCTATGGACAGAAGTTGCTATCCATTTTCCATTCTTCCCTTCTTCCTTTAGTAATAGAACCCCTAAGTTTTAACTGGACACATGGCCTCACTAAAGACACAGTGCAGGCTCACTTGCACCTAGGAGTGACTCTGTGATTAAGTTCTAGCTAATGCTAGCTAATTGCAATGTGTAGCTTCCAAGTCTGCCATTAAAGGGGAAGGGCAGATCCCTCACTTCCACTTCTCCCATTCCCACTGGCTGGGATACCGGTGAGAACTGAA